AGTTAGCTTCTTAATTTACAAAAAAAAACATTAAATAGCAATTATATAACATTAACAACCTAAGAGTGGCTATTCTGGAGGCCATGAACCTGGACGGTCAACCCAATGAGTAGGTTATAACCATGGTTAGAAGGGGACTAACCCCAGTTCCCCAGGAGAGAAGTAAGGTTATCAGCTACATCCAAGAAGGACCATGAAACCCCACATGTGGCTCTGAACCAGTGGACAAAACGTGAGGGACGGATTGACCAGGGGTTGATCATCCTGCACGTGCTCACATGCCCGTCCACATTTTTTGGGCGCCCCTTAGATTCTAAAAAAGCACCTGGTTTCCTATACCCAGTGATTCCATTTCCCGAGTTTGGTAGGAACCAAGAAAGCTCCCCTTTTGCAACTGAAGGTAATTGGCGAGTTAACGATTGGTAACTCAGATCCACCGGGTTGGGATGGAGAATCAGGGAGGAGCCACCATGATCTCCAGTCGTTAGGAGTGGGGATAACTAGGCAGAGCCCAACAAACAGGATTGGCCATTTGAGTAGGTGGTGCTGTTCCGTACGATCTACATACTTCTCGGAGAAAAAAAAACACAAAACAAGTCGGTAGGTTTTGCGCGGCTCAAAGGTGATGTTTCTTCCCCCAGCATCTGCTGACCCTTAAAGGGGGGCTTGGACTGGGAACAAACCTCAAATCACCCTCCCCCCAACCAATATTGAAACCTGACAGGTGCTCGAAGACAATGCTCCCAAACAAGGGGATTACCCCCGGTCAGGGGGTAATCCAAACCAAGACCTACGAAATGCGGGTGGCTCCGTCTGCGTTTTCGCAGGCAAGCTCTACGGCACCATGGACGACCTTCGCTTGGAGCATCGCCGGGTGCAGGCCAAGTACATCGCCGCCCGGACGGATCAGGGGGGAAAAAGACCGGGGGTATGGGCGGAGATTCTTGGACGAAGGCTTTGTGTTTGTGTTTTGATGTCGGTCCTTGTTTGATTTTTGTGGAAGGCGATCTTGCTGAGCAAATAGGTTACCCTTTTGACTCCCTTGTAGCAACTCGTACTTTTTTTCCGGGGGAAAGGTCTCTCAGTCCTGGAGGGGACCGACGTTGATGGGCCCGGTCTGCCAAATTCTTTCGGGTTTCGAGCTCACCAATCCGGTAAAACGGGGAAAGCCATCATGTAGGACCTGGATTCGGGAGGCTTCGCCTACCAGGCTCTCGCTTGCTTGTTGTTTGCCCTTTGCCGCACCTCCTGCCACTCATTTTGGCGGTTGGTCGAAAGTTTGCGAAAGCTTTTCTGGGGTTCCCTGAAGCTTGAAGGAAAACGTGTCCTCGCGTTTGTTTTGGAATTCATGACCCATTTGGGCGGTCAAACAGATGGCCCTCTTTTGGACCCTGCCACCGTTTTGAAGCCACCAAACAAGCGGATGCCAATTTGGGCCCGAGTTTTGACGCTACCCTCCCCCATGTATTCTGCTGTGTGGTTTCGACAATGCTGTTAATAATGGGGTGGTGGTTTTGCCCCGTCGCACGGACGAATATCGGGTTCGGGCTTCCTCCATGTTTTACAACGTCGGGACCATCTCAATCGAAGACTTTGTTGGCCAATCCATTCGCGATTTCCAACAACATACTCACAAACATACGGCAAACATGCAGATTTTGGAAGACGAGACACGGGAAACTGTTCTCAGCAAACTTTCTCCGGAACGTGTTCGCTCAGGAATTTCGCAAGCCAGCCACCGAAAGCACCCCAAAGACACTGGCGTAGTCCACTTCAAACTCGCAATGTTGGGGGGCTACTCTTATGCGCAAGACACCCGAGTGAGACGAGTCCTAGGCGATGACGAAGGCACTGATCTCCAGTTGCGATGTGGACGGATTCCGCGTGGACACGCCGATGCGCCTTGGATGTGTTTCAAGAAAACGCGAGGTCGGCCTGTGAGCTCCGTTTTGGCAGGCTTACCCAGGAGCTTTTTCTGCAACCCCTGGTTTCATATTTTGAGTCTTGAGATGTCTTGAGATCGAGAAGGTGCGAGGAATCGAAAACCAGGAGGTGCTCCAAACTTGGCAGGGAAGTTATTAACGTAGGAAGTGCAAAGTTTGCACTTGTTGGGGCACCCACCTCGGTTTCTTCAAAATAAAGCCCCGAGCTGGTTTCCTGGTTGAGTCATTGACTGATTTAATGATTGCAGGACAGGGCTACGGTTACAGCACGCAAGCATCCTGGCAAGCGCATGTGTCATCGTCCACTAGAGGGTTGGCAAATTAGGGGCACTTCTGGTATCCGCTGCAAAAAGTGGCACATATTGGCGGCACCAGGGGGTATATACTTTTGCTTCATAGCCGCTACGCCTGGCTGGGCTTCTGGCAGATTCCCAGATTCCAGGTTGATACTCCCTCTTGTGAGGGTGAAAGTCCACCAGATCGGGGGTATAAGCGACTCAGAAGCTCCATCCAGCAATCCAGTACTACGTTGGGGGTATTGTTTTTTGGGCAGCCTGCACAATGCTGGTGTTCATGTTGAGTTTCCCTTAAAAACTACAAAGAAGGAGTCACAGATCCATGTCAGGTTTTGAATTTGTAGAAGTTGCAGATCCACTGCTAGCTGCTTGGAACAAACGGACAGGGGACGCCCAAAGCGTTTGTTGCTTTCCTCTCGAGGATCCGAAAATGGGTGTGTGCTTTTTAGGGAACCCCCAAAATGGCGGTGTTCCTTTTGGTTCCCGTTAAAACTATAAAGAACAGGGCACCAGCAAAAAGCAGACCCAATTGGATACATCATGCCTTATGTTGGGACCGGCCATTTCCCGCGTATACAGATTCACATTCTCTGTACGCAGATATATGGCCATGGGTGAAAACCCCGTACCCCCAGTGAACATCCCAATCCCCACTAACATAGACTACAATGGGCCAAAATGGTGCGATTGGTTGTGACCCATAGTATGTGACACTTTTTGTTTTCAGCTCCCGATTGTAAAGCTGCACACCTCCAATGGTCAATGCCAAAAAACAGCTCCCAATTTGAACGTTTATACGAGCCACCATTGTTTATACGTCAACCTTTGGTTTTCCTTGGCACACGTTTCAAACCACCACCAAAATTTGTACAACAACCTTGCGTTTCTCTTGGACGATGTTTATCTAAGCCACTGCAGCTTATACAACCTCTGGTTTCCTGTTCCGGAAAAAAAAAAAAACATCCAACCAAACCTGGTTGCAACAGAACCAGTGAAAGAACAAACACACACGCACACAAACAAACAAACAAACAAACAAAAAACAAACAAACAAACAACAAACAAACAAACAAACAAACAACGAACAAACAAGCAAACAAACAAACAAACAATCAAATACTAAGCAAGCAAGCAAGCAAGCAATCAAGCAAACATACAAACAAACAAACAACCACGCACCAACACACATATATATATATATATATCGCCTCCCGTCTTCAGATCTTTTCTGGGATTCCATGTTGAACTAGTGGGTTGACCCAGTGTGCCTTGAACCAACCAGATTGGCCCCGCAAATGTTGAAGCCAAGCTTCCAGCAACCAGTTGCTTTTTCCCATGTCCAACATTCCAAGTCCAAAAAGAAGTGGTTGGGGGGTGCTGGTTGTGGGGGGAGATCATTGATGAGGAAAGAGTCCAATCTGCGGAGTACATCAACACGAGGGACATTTCAAGCGGAGCCTTATGCAAAGTGACGTTGCATGCCATATTTATATTTATGCAGCACATTGTGTTGTTGTTGTTGCTGGAAGTGTGTTGTTCTGCGGAAACCCTAAACATGCCTTGCTTTTTATGGTGGGGCAAGCACAAGGGTAGTCCGCCCGTTTTGTTTGGTTCCCCTTAAGATATATATGGCCATGGGTCAAAATCCTGTACCCCCAGTGAACATCCCAATCCCCACTAAAATGGACTAAAATGGGTGGTGCACCTACCCAAAAATGGGATCCCATTGGTTTTGACCCACAGCCATGTATCCTGTTCTTTGTGGCATGTGACGTGACCCCTCCCGCCGCCGAGTTCCTTTGACAGGCAGGTGCCGCTGGTCTTCTACAAGGCGTGGGCCCCTGCCATGCGAAAGCACGCCCTTGGCCTCGGCAAGAAGAGCTTCGGCCTGGGGCCCCGGAGGTTGGCGTCGGTCGTTAGCCGGCCGCAGCTTGGATCCAGGACATTTCGGCCAGAAAAAAACCAAGGAGGGGTATTTTTCTCAGGATTTGTTTTTTCGTTTTTTTCGGGCGAAGACAAAGGAAACAAAATAGGTTCACGAGTGTTGCGGCATCTGAGATTTGGCCAGAAAACCAAAAAACCCCAACACCCCAAGAGTGGAAGGGAGATTTGACGGGCTACCATTCAGAAAGCCATGGTATCACCCGGATGAATCCTGGCCCGCATCTGTGGTGCAGGAAACATGAGTTGTTCTGATTCTGTTTCATATTTAGCCTACGCTAAACTGTAGAGTACTTTCGGAGACCCCAGGAATCCTGGCTTAGATGCCCTTGACCAATGCACTTCATTGCTTTTGACCGAGTTTGAGCCACGAATCGTGTTCCTGACCCAACGTCAGGGTTTTTCTGAGTTTCCCTCCACGTGATTTGAGCGGGCCCGATTCCCTTCGGGTGATGGGGCACGCGAAGTCTCCACATAGGGAGCTGGGGGTTCCTTGTGGAGAAGACTTCTCCAGGTTTGGCCGGGACATGAAAAAGAAGGGAATTGGTTTTCCAAAGAAAAGCTTCCTCGAACATCTAGCAAGTAGCTCTTCTGAAGTTGGTGGATGTTCTTGCATTGCTCATTGCCAGACCGAGCTGTACTAAGTTTTGTACTTGTGGGCCTTCCATGAGAGCAAGTTATAGCCAGGGTTATAACCTATACCTACTAAGTTGCTGGAGCAGCCAAGAACACGGTATTGCAGAAATGGCCCAAATGGCAAATGGCCAGTCTGATAGAGGTTGTACTATTGCTGCAAGGGTAGCAATAGTGCTTGGAGCGACATGATAATCCTAGACTTAATGCAGCACCGAATAGTGGATAATCTCAACTTGGCGTAGCCATTCGCCGTAGATGTCACTTATTGTATCACAACTGTTCCATTTGCACATCGGATTTTGTCCAATAACAGCTGCATTGGAGGTGGCGCCATAGTTTTTGTTTTCGTGATTCGTTTACATCGGGTTCCACGTGACCTCCACCTTTCCACCCCAGGCCTCTTCGGAGAGTTCTACGTGACGCCGGAGAGGTACGCCACGATGACGGGCCGCGGCAAGGACCAGGCCATCGCTTCAAAAACCAAAGCGCATCAAACAAGAGGCTCAGCTCGTGCACCTGGGCTACCTTCTGGGAGAAGGTAATGGTTGTTTCTCAGGAGACTCCAAAAATGGTGCCTGTTCTCCTGTTGGTTTCCCTTTAAAGCCACATTTTTCAATAGGGGGATTGAGAAACAAACTGTAGTTAAGTGTGGAATAGGTGTTAGCTCCCCTTCCCTCCGAGGTGTAAGTCGTTCCTTGACCCCGGCCTTCAGGATTCAGGACAGACAAGCATCGGGCTGTCCTATTGCTTCTGTTACCCAAGACTTTCAACATGCGCACGCCCTCCTACCATGGAAGCTGTGACCCATTGGTGGGATTTCGCAAAGGAAAGACATGTTCTAACCTTGCCAATTTCTTCGTTGGAGTTTTGAATGGCATGGCCAGACTGAACCAACTGCGTTTCCATATTTGGCCCTGAACCAGGCTTCCTTCACCTACTTCACACGTGTCGGAAACCTGCCTGGCCCAATGTGTGTCACTGCCCCAAAGCTTGGGCTTTGAAGCGGCGAGCGGGTTGAGGTCCAAGTCCTGTCAGCGGGTTGTGGACCAAGCCAACCTTTAGGGAGACCAAACAAAGACTCAGTTGTTCAGTGGCACTTGTTGTCCTTTCTTTTGGTGGCTGCCAAAAACTAAAAATGGTCCAAGCCCCAAAAAGGGTTCCCTTTCTTTTCCAGGGTCACTGAACAACTGAGAAGAAGGGCGATTCTTGGCGTCTCCGTGGAAATCGACGGGCCGGGCCGGTGCGCCTGGGACCCCGAGGCTTCTCTTGTTAGATCTTCGGCTGGACAGGGGGTTTGGGGGACACAAAACCCAAACCATTGAGAGTGGCTCACTTTGATGTTTTGCTTTGTTTTAGACTACAAATCGAATCCAACCACTAGGTAGACCGAAATGCTACAGGAATTCTACAAGTTCGATGAAAGCTCGGGGATTTGGGCTAGCTTCTTGAAGTTTCTTTACTTGCTCACTCCGTGAACCCCTTCTCGGAGTTGGACGCCAAGCATCCACCAAAACCCGGATGCTTTTTGTTATTGCAAATGACGCCAGTGAGCAATGGCTTCTCCGAGGCATTTCAAGGGGCCTCTTTTTCAAGACGGTGTCCACTACCCCCACCTCGGGAAAAACACAAAAAGTGTATACCCTTTACATAGTGGTCGGTGGTTGTATACCCCATGTTTCCCCCTTGGGTACTGGTTTGGGGGTGGGCACCTCGGCTCCTTGAGAGGCGCTTCACCGCACGAGCGTTTTGCAAGCCAGGCCATGTATGGCACGGAGAGCTTCATCGAGGGACCTGCCACCATGAAGGGAGGTATTGCTCCTGGGATTTTGTTTGTGGGGATTGCCCAGTCGCCGAGTTGTGACTTGTCATGGTTGTTGTTAGGACACATTTTACATTTTGCTTATTGTGGTTTAGTGGGAATTCCCCACTTATAACTGCTAAAATTTAAATTGTTGCTCCCCTTCCAACGTCAACCAAGTTGTGTAGGGTCCATTTGGGAGAGAGAAGTGGGGACTCCAGACTCCATGTTCAAGGAAATCCACAAAGCCATGTTGCCCCATGTCCTCAAAGCGAGATAGCCGGCGGCTCAAGGGGTTAACTACGAACCATCCAGAGTACAGGAGAAACAGATAGGATCCCCTCGAACTGGTAGAGTCTCACCCACACACCCTCCTCGAACGCAAGAGGCATGTCGAAGCTCCACGGAAGAAACTCAGGCCCGCTGGCTCAGGGGCTTTGTTGCCATTTCACTGGCACCTCCTGGCTCTTGAGCATTTGGTTGATTTGGGCAATGAGCCGCAATCAGTGAAGTCTCAGAAGCTAGCAGCAACCGGAAAATGTCAGCAGCCGGCAACGTTCCAGGGGCTAGGGGCCATTCGGGTGGAGAGTTTGTTGCATGCGTCAGGGACTTCCGGAAATGACTCATGGCTTGGACCGCACACCTGGCTGTTTTGCCAAACGCGCTTTGGTCTTCCCACACCATGTGTGATGGCCTCTAATTTGCCACTCGACTACACCCGTGGCTCCATTTGAGGCTCAGAAGAAGTATGCCACGCAGCAAACGGTTCAACTTGTTGCTCAGGGGCGAGGATTAACCCCGCCTATAACCCACACTTGCAACAGGGTTGAGTTGTCCTGAACTAAAGTGACTCCCAGGGGGTCCCTTCAACAGCAAATGTGTTTTCCCGTTCGTGGGAGGGAGGGAGAGGAGGGAGGGAGGGTATAGGGCAACGGTTCCGGCCGCAATTGAGCTTCAGGAAATTCACATGGACAACAGGCCTTTAGGTGATCGTTACAAACGAACACTGGGCAGGGCCTCTCGCGGCAAGGGTCGTCGAGGAGGGTTGGGCCAGCCTTCTTGCCGCAACCGTCGCGCGTTGCTGAGGTGTATTCGTACTACTGGTACATGTTCACAGCCTTCGTCTACAACCAGCCTCAGTGGCTAGCTGCGAAAAGGTTCCGTTTTGAGCTGGTTGTCGCCTCTTTGGGGCGTCAAACAGAAGGGAGACCATGTGAGCATAGATCCTGGACTGGCTATTTCGGGTGGATCGCACGAAGCCGGTACCATGGAGGTTGCGATTCAATGGGACCAAACTCCATGTCTAAACCTTGTTTTTTTTCAAACCAAACTCGTTTGACGACCACTTTCCATTTTATTTTTATTTATTTTGTTTTATTTGTTTTTGTTTAATAAAAAAAACAAAAAAACAAAAAAAAAGCAAATCATGAAACAACAGGGTGTGGTTCTTTGTGTTTTGTAAACTGGTTCCCTATGCGGAAATACCGAGAAGTGGAGCGCCAGGTAGGAGGGTTCCGAACTCGACCAGAATTCGGCCGGAGGTACCTCAAGGGAAGGTGAACCGGCGCTATGCCAAACATGTTGGAGTGTCCTCTTTTTGTTCTGAGGGTACCCTCTCTTTTGTGAATTGGAAGGGGGACCAAAAGGAACACCGCCGTCTTGTGGGTTTTCTTTCGGGTCTTTCTGGAAGGCGCCTTTGTTTTTTCAAGCGAACCAGAAGGTGTCGCGACGTCCGAGGCGAAGGTGTCCAAGTTCTATGGGCGATGTGGGCGTCACAATTGTTGAAACTCAGCCATGAAAACTCCCTCCTTGCGAACGATTCCTTGTTCCACGTATTGGAGAAGGCCCGTTGATGTTTCAATCCTTCACCCCTTCTTTTGATTTCCTGGGTCTCCGATCTCAGGGCTATTTATTTTCTGTGCTGAGGGCATGGACCAGCAAAGGGCAAATGGGCGTTGAGAAGGTGTTCTGTTGTGAGAGTGGCGCAAAAATGTTCAGACGGCCCTGGCTATTGAACCAGGAGCTTTTCAGGTTGCGGGTTTGTCATATAGCCCATGCGAGTGTACAGCCGGATGTGCCCATTTGCTCAATCTGAACGAACTATTGACGCCTTGAAGGCACACGTGGGAGACTGGAGACCGTGTTTTGAGGACTTCTGGGCATGTGGGTTGGTCTCAAGAATAGGGGCTCCCTGTTTCCCTTTAATGCCATCCCAAAGGGGGGGTACCCTCAAGAAGGACGTCCCCATGCCGACGTTTACAGGCAGCATTCCCCTGCATCGTTTCCCACCAATCTGATTGTGGCTCATCAAGGGTTGTTCCGAAACTTGGGCAGACATTCGTTCGGCTTTGTTTGGTTTCCCTATAGTGGTTTCTTTCGGATCGGCGTGGCTGAGTCCCTGCTAGTTCTTCATTCATATGGATGATGATAATCACAACAAGCAAATACTGTTCACGCCTTTTGCGGCTTGCCGGCGAGGTATGCTGATGGCTTCCCCCTAGCCTACGCGGAGGAGAGCAACATGCTGGACACCTATGACGAGGCGGCAGCGTCAAACCATCACACCTGGGACCTCCAGTGGGCGTCTCTCAAAATGGAAAGCCCCCCCTTTGCTTGGTGGCTCCCAGCTATCCGGTTCCTTAGCGTTTTAGGTTTGTGGGTTTAGTGGTAGTTTCCATTTAACCCACTACTGTACAAATCAAACTTTTAGCGGGGGATCTGAGGGCAGCCCAGTTTGGGTTGCGATTTGCGGGGGTAGCCAAAAAGACTCAGTTGCCATGGACCAACTTTGAGAATCGTGCCGGTGAGTTGTTCTTTCAGCTTGTTCCGGGTGAACCTCTTCAACATCGCCAAACACCAACAAAACCGTTGCAATATGTTAGGTTGAGCAGGGGATCCAATGTTGACACAAAGCCTCAAACAAGAATACACATAGGGACAAGAATTCGCCACTTGCGCCCAGAATTGTGGGCTCCAACCCCTTTTCCCTCCTCGAAGATGTTCTCAGGCGAGTGGCCAAAAGCAGTACGCCATGTGGAACTTCTGCAACAACCACGACAACTGGCGTTTGCAAGCCATGACCAGCGCCCCGGATCGGTTCAGAATCCGGAATCCGGAAGTGACCTTGGGACCGTTTTTGGTTTTGCTTTGCTCGGGTTCAAATGGCCTTTGTTTGAGGCTCGCTGCCTTTTTTGAGTGGAATTGAAGGGGGAACCAACAGGCAAGCCCTCCCTTCCTTCTTTTTTTGTTGGGGGGGGTCGCTATTTTGATACAAACCCATATGATTCCGAATCCTCCGATGATTGGGGCGTTTAATCTGGCTTTATGGACTAGAAGCAAGAAGCCAAACTCGAGCAGATCAGTTGACAGGATGAGGTCCTCTGAATATGTACTATAGAATCAGAGATACCATATTTGGTTGGGGCAAACGCCCAAGTAGCCACCCTCCAGAACCCCTTTGAGCAGAGCAAATCTCCAGAAGGCTTCATTTCTGAACCTGGCTTTTTCGTTCTGGGTCTTTTCGTACCCTCTGAGGTACCTCAACTGTAACCCCGAACTCTGGTTCCAACAGTTTTGGTCTTAAGCATCACCTTTTCGCGTTGAGTTCCCCTTTGGGATTGGGCAAAGATGGGTGTGTCTTGAAAGGCACCCCCAAGACGGTGGCCTGGTGTTCCCTTTTAACTCACTGACAGAGTTCCTGAACCCTATACTTTGCTATTTGTAGTGGACCATCAAAGTTTGGACTTTGGCGAATCCACTGACTTTGGGGAGCGATAGTGGCGGGACAAAGAGGGATCTTAATCCGGGACGTGAGCTTACAGGTCACACAGTTTGGGAGAAGCCTGGGCAATTTAGAACGAGCTCGACTGGGAGTAAGACGAGCCAATAATGAAGGTCCTTTACCTGGAGATTCTGTTGTTCCAGTTATGAATTCTAGACTTTTGCCCACATATCCTGTGTTGTATGATATTTTTGTCGTATCCTTCCACCGTCGCCATCCTCGGGGATGTTTCACTGAGTTTTGCTGTCGACATCCGGCCTCCAGCCATCAAAGATGGCGTGTTTGAACTGAACCCTGGGCTGTGGGTTTTCGAGGGTCGGGGCCTGAAAATTCGGTGAGCCTCGCGTTGGCTCAAATTGCGAGCCCGAGCTTCAACCCCCAAGTGCTTGAAGTTCCAACTTGGGTTTCCCTTGGTTTTGCAACCAAGGGGTTCCAATTTGGATCTGACCCTTTGGTTTTCAAGCTCGACTGGATCTGAATGAATTGTCCAGAAGGTAAACCTTGCGGTTCCCAAATGTGAAGGGGCTCTCACCGAGCTCTGGAGCATTTCCTCTCAACTTGTTTTGGTTGGGCAGCCCCCCTTGGTTCCGTGGCGAGCCCCTCAGTTTTTCCGGGAAATCCACTGGACAGCGGTGACCATTTCCAGATATAATTGAAGCAACTTTGTTTGCCCCTCTGGGTATCTTTCTCCGTGTCCTTTGCTGTCAAATAATGAGCACGTATTCCAGGGGTGTCATAAACTGCCCCTGGGCAGCGGCTTGGGTGCTAGTAACGGACTGACCTCGCCCTCTGAAGTAAGTTTTCATGCGGTGGTTTCTAAGTTGTCCTGATTGCCTGCAACAAGAGCTTCAGTTTGTTTTTCTTAGGTCTTAGGGGGGGTTCCCTTCAAACCGAGTGCCCTTAAGCTACTAGAACTGTACGCGAGTTGAGTTTAGCTGGTTTAATGTTTCGGAGCATCTTACATCTTTGCCCAGACCCCGCGAAAAACCACATGCACCAACAATGTCCGTTGCATTTTCCCGTAGGCAGTGCCCAAACAAAAGGGGTCATGGCCCCATTTCTGAACGCTGGGTATAGTGACAAACAATCAGTTTGCGCATGAGCCATTGTGTTCCGCTTAAAATCCCGAAATGTGTGCTCACTGTACGCATTGGGTGGGCATGCCAACTGATTCTTACTCATACCCCCTGCTCCAAATACCCTCTTTCTCTGGACAGCCAGGTTTTTCCAAATATGTCAACAAGCGGGTATCTGGAGATTACGGGGCATTTAAAGGGAAACCAACAGGATACCCACAATTTTTCGGGGACGAGAAAACCCCCAAGGGATTCACCAGAAAGTGGGATTTTCGTTTGGAGTTGGACAGTTGGAAAAAGTTGGGGAGACTCGGAGACAAGCTGGACATCATGTGGAAACATTGGAACAAGTTGGGGAGACCGTTAGACTAAAAGTTAGAGCAAAGTTGGAGAAAAGTTGGACAAGTTGGAACGAAACCTGAGGCACCAGACATTTGCTGCTCTGCCTGGTGGTGATTACCTTCTGGCCGGGCATCCCCTTGCACTACGCCGGTGACGAGCAGCGCCTCGCTCCCCTGTTCAGCGCTTTTTTTGTTTTTGTTTTTTCTTTGTTTTTTCTCGGTAGGCATGAGACATGGAATGACCCCAAAAACCATCCATCCGAGATGGTGTCCTGTATTCTGGAATCCCAAGAACGGGTCAGGGCAATATGGCTTCCCTTTTTGATTCGGCCTTGAGAAACGAGGGTTGGAGTGGAGGGGCAGCAAACCAAAAGGGGTAAGGCATTCAATTTGAAGGAAGAACCCAAATACAAAGACGACTTTGCCAGGTGTTCCTGTTGGTTTCCTTGGGAACCACACGCACTTGTTGAAGGGTACCCGCTAACACCACACGCACTTGTTGAACCATATTTGCTTCAAGATGAAGCGCTCAATCTAGGAATGGCTTCAAAATGAACCAGCTCAAAGAAAAACACAAAGCCTGAACCCAACCCAAACCCCAACACGTTATCCCAGAGCCCCCAAACAAATCCCTGTGGAATCCCCCTAATTGCTGCAAATACTACCCTCTTTTTTGAGGATATGATGTCAACCCCTCTCTAATCCAATCATCAACCCTGAAACCGGGAATGTGGAGATTACCGGGGTGTCCCCCAAAACAAACAGAAAGGTACTTAACATGAAACATGAGAATCCCCACGAACCAAACCCAAAACTCCCAAAATGAGAATCAGAACCAAACCCCATTTGTTTTTTCTTCCCTAGCGCAATACCAAGCGCGCGCTCGCTTCCAGGAACTTGGGTTCTCCGGGCAGCGCCTTGGACGGCTGGAGCCGCGAGGAGCTCGGGAGCTCCTTGGCCTGGCAGGCGGTGACCGTGACGCCCTCAGGCGAATCCGCGGAGAGTCGGCCGAGCGCGGGGAGTCGTTTTCGGCGGCTCGGTGCCCCTTGTGGCGGGTCCGGGCCCACGGATCTTGGTGCTTCCTTCCCAGCAATCCGGATGAACTTGGGGTGTTGTTGTTTTTTGTTTTTTTCCCGTTTGGCCCACCAAAAGTTGGACGTTTAGCAGGGGATCTGAGGACAGCCCAGCTTAGTCAATGGAAATGGGCAAGTCCTTTATTTCCTGATGTAAATCCACTGTGGTGGGGAGCCAGTTTGGCCTAGTCTGGTCGCAATCTCTCGAAATGCTGTCAGGTTTAGGACTTGGGGATCAATCCCAAGAAGGCTGTGGAAACCGTTGCTAAATTCATTGGTAGACAGTCGCATTTTGTTCTTTAACATGTTGATTGTAGATTTATTGGGGTTTTGTACAATCCCATTGCAAGTGTTATGTTTCGAGGTTGCCGTTTTCGGGTTCTTGCAGGTAATTTTCATGGCTATCAGGTTTACTTGGACTTGGCCCCCCAAGGTGCAATCAAAATGTGCACGTACATAGGTAGATGAACGGGAAAGCCACAATGCATGTAGTTTACCTTGTCACATCGATTCAGTCTTTTGACCGAATCGCCCAGGAGAGGCCTTCTGGGATAAAATGCCTTGTCCATTAAGCCCACCAAAGGGCTCCATAGACCTTTTGCTCGTGGGGCGGCGGGAGCAACCCAGATGGCTTTTCCCAGACTCGGCATGAAGCTCTTGAAAGTGGCCTACGAAAGGGTGTTGCCTGGCGGTTTTTGCGCCAGGCAACCCTGCGGACGGCGATAACTTCGACATGACCGCTCCCAACTACTTGCGCCTTGTCCGCCTGTTGTTTTTTTTTCAACTGGAGTTGAACGACGGTTTTTGTTTGGTTCGCCAGACCAGTGGCTCTGCGCCCATGCCAATGTAGCAAGCACGCACTCAAAACGGGGAGAGTGGGGTGGCTTATGTTCATTGCTTGGCTTCCATGCATGGAATACTGTCCGGGTCGATGCGTGTGACCAAATCGCCCAAAAGGAGAGTCACATTTTGGAAGGCTTCTCCCGGAAAAAAAAAAACGACAAAGGTCTCGGAATTGTTTGCTGGTTTCAAGAGTTTGGAGTTGGATTCATGAGCTATCCCCTGAATGTTTGACTTTTAGCAAGGAATGAACGAACGACATGCGTTTTATCAGAGCAGTTGCTTCATCCAGGGGTTTCCGTCCAAGCGGCTGGCTGCCAGCCTGAATCTGTTGCCACGTTTGGGCCTAACTAACTCAAATCGGGGTTGGGCACTTTTAATCTATCTTTATTCAGCCTGTACCTGAGGAAGAGGAAAGGGGTCCGACGCGATACCTTGTCCATTCCGTTGCATCCTCCTCCGCCGCCCCGGTTGTTGTGACCCTGAGCAGAACTAAGTGGATTATAAGCTAGGTGAGTCTAGCCACTGAAGTTGAAGGAGCAACCAAGTAGTCTCGAGAAGCGGGGTTTGCAGGTTGGCCAACTTGTCTCAGTGGCTTCCAGGACCCCTTTCCCTTTAAACTCAACTAACTACTGTGCAAGTTGTTTTTGTCATGAGAAGCTTGCCGTTGCAAGTAGTGGTGGAGGCAGTGTTGCCCTTTTTTCAAGGTACCCGTTTTGAGGTGGGCTTACAGGGAAACAAAAGGAAGCCACTCATTTTGCGGATCCACCGTTCTGAGACATGCAGGCTCATATCAATGACAGTTTGCTTGGGTTGGCAAGGTCAAGGACTGAACAGTTGTCAACTTGGGTAAGACGTTATAGGTTGCCCACCCTACCATGAGAGCCAACCACCCGAATGTGTTTGTGGGTTTCTCAGTTGAAAGCTGGTGTTTTGGATTCTGGATGGCGAAAAACCCTACAGACTTCCAACATGGGTGGACAACATGGAACCGACAAGCAAGAAGGGTTTTGGCTTCCCATGGTAGACAAGGGAAGTAAATACCCAAAAGCTTCCATTCCAGGTGCTTAACTTGCAGCCTGGTTCAAAGTAACGTGTAGGTGTAAGCACCCCTTGCCTAGACATGAAGCGAACAAGGAACGCCGTGTATTGCCATTGTCGTTATGTGATATTCTATCAACTCTCTCTCTCTCTCTCTTTGTTTCTACGATTGTATCTATAGCTGTATAATATTATACAGCGCATTACATTGCCCGTTTGGAGCTTGTTTCCCAAGCTTCTGGACAGTCACCATACTGCCTATGCTGCCATGTAGTGAAAATGTCAAAAACAAGTTTGGGCAAAACTTCTGGAAGTGCTGGTTAACTGGGGGGGGGGGGTGGACAAACTATATATGCATGTTGGATGCAAAGATCGTACCCTGGTGTCAACAACAAATCTTAAACGCCACCTGGCTTTGCCATCCCTCGTATGCCTGGGCACGTTCCATGGGAATTGTCTTCATTGGTCGAGTCGAGTCGAGTTTCCCACCCGCAGAAAGGCTCCAAGAACTCCATCACAACCCCGGTCGAAGCTTTCCTGAGAGGCTGGCCAAACTTGGTGCTCAGGGAATGATGGAATGACGGGGATTCCCTAGGAAACCATAGTGGACAGTTGATAGGGGAGTCATTCCAAGTCTCATTCCCTGCCTATCGCACCAGAAAGTAAACATGAAACCACAATCTGAAGAATATTATTTCTGGCGTCTGCCCTTGGCCAAGCCGAAAAAACGGGCCTCCTCATTCGCAGACGAAACCGAGGTTCATCGCGCGACTGAATGCATTGAGACGGAGTTACTTCGGGGACTTTGGCAGAGAAGAGCTGCTTGGGCGCATCAATTCACGGTTCTTGGCATGTGGCTGTGGCTCAAATTAAGGAGCTGGGCTTACGAGGGCTTTAGTCTTTGCTTCCATTGGCCTAAAGGGGCCCTTTTGGGTACTTGTTTTTGCCACAATGTTTGTTAGCTTTCCGTATTTGGCTTTTTAGTGGTGTGTTTTAATTTTGGGTTTGTTGATTTAGTTATGTCCATTTGTTTGCGCGCCGAAACATGCGGTTTTGCTCAGGCTTTGAGTCTGGCTTCCTTTGGTGTCCCGAGTCTGGTTTCCTTTGGTTTCCGGTGGGTTTCCCATGATAAAGGACCAAAATGGTTTCCTTTCCCACCCGAAGCATCGAACAACCCTTGGGGTGCAAGCTAAGTTTTGGTGATGGGTCAAGCGGTTCTGTTTGGAGAGCAACCCAGGTGCCTAAGCATCGAATGGACCCTCAAAGAGGTCCCACAACTTCCAATGGAGGTAACCCCTCCAATGGGACAGTGGGACGCCCTGTGGGCCCTGGTTTTACAGCTTTTTCAGCTGTTGTTCTAGCTTTTTTCATCTCAACATTGTGAACTTGACTTTATTAAGTGTCAAGGCTTCCACCTCAAACAGCGAGGAGGGTCCAATGATGTTTAGGATAGCGCTTCCGATTTACGTTTCACATTACCAAACTGCCTTTCGGTCAGTTTTTTCACCGACTTGTCTACGTTGCTTTTGGCAGGGATGAGAGGGACGAACTCAACATTTCCCGCCGCCGTTGACGGAACCCAATTTGCCTTTGGGGAACCCATGGCTCTAGGTGTCATTCCCCCTGTCGACCGAATTTTTACCGAAGTGTTTCCTTTGGCTTTCTGAATCATGTGCTAATGTTCTATTTCCCACGCAAGTACGATGTGTCACTCATCATTTTAGCTGTTTCCATCTACCCTGAATGGTTTGGGGCTGTTCAGCGACACCCTCCAAGTCCTTTTTGGTGGACCTCAGAAGCGGAAACCAGTACGATGATAGTCCAAGCTGGGGTCTGGAGGTGAAAGCTTGGACCCGAAACTGCAGTGCGGACCATTCGGTTCCGGGGCGACGGGGCGACTGTCTATGGTACCAAGGGGGCCCCTTTGCAGCATAGGGATGGGCATCCCGCTTTGGTATCACAGAAACCAGCCATGCAACCATGACATTAGTAATTGCATGTGATGGTTCTGGAAATTGAGAGGCAGCAAAATGCATCGGCTTCTCTTTGAAGCTCTATTTGACGGCCCCAAAAACAGGCCCAACTCCCAGGAAAGGATTTGCCCCCCCCTCCCGTCCCGCTTTGCAAGGGTCAACCCTTGCAGTGGCCATGTTGCCATTGTCTGCGCCTACACCATATGGTGCAATGGGAGGGGGATACAATGACCCCTGCAGAAATCAAAAGCAGAATATGGGTGTGTTTTCTTCGAGTGAGCCCCAAGAGTAGGGTGGGTTACCAAGGAATTGGCCGGGAAAATTCGTGGTTGGTAGTCCCTGCATATTACGTGGAATGGAATCCAAAACGAAGGTCCCACAAAAGGAGACTCCTCTAAACATGATGTCTTTTGGGGTTCCGCGTGAAGCTGCTGTGCAGCCTAAGATGGTTTTCAACACTCCGAGCCACCCTTACTTTATATAGCGGCTACACAGCGGTCTTGGGGTAGTGGGTTTTATCTCAGATGCGGGGGGGGGGGGGGTAAAATCCACATTTGAGGTCCAAGACCGTCCAATGTCCTGACCCCCAACGGAGGGTCCAGTGCAGAGAGACTCTGCCAATAGAGTTTTTCTCCAGATTGAGTGGGTTGTGGTGTCCCTTAAAAGCAAGTCCAAAAACAGGAACCACGCAGGGGATACTTGGATGTGCACCGTAGGGTAAATCCCACTTAGTGATACTTAGTTGCCTCACTATCGTAAGTTTTCACCGAGGGGTTGTCATCCAAGAACTTGTCCCTTCAAGTCTGTTCCTGCTCCAGTAAACCATCAAACACGTGAAGCATATCCCGCGTATATATTGAGGTCGTTTTTGTTTGACCCGGCGCTTTGGAGCGCGTCTTTCGCTTCGGCGAGCGAGGTGTGACAAGCTGGTGCTGCCCGAGTCGCCCATTCCCGATGTGCTCGCCTTCTCGCGTGGGTGCACAGAGGAGCGAGATCTCGTGGGAAGTCGAGCTGGTGCAAATGAGGGGTCAAGTTGCTTACCCCCCACTGTGATACCCAACAAAAGTACCAAAGAAGTGGGATCCAACAAACCCCTACTGAGACGCTGGTACCAAGAGCGCTTAGTTTGTTTACAAGATTTGTGCTTCAGTTCGATTCCCATCCAATGCAACCAGCCAGAAGTTGGTTTGGGAGCTGAATCTGGGATCCGCTTCGGCTTTTTCAGAACCCAAACCCAAATCTACGGAGCCTAGGAGGGCCGCGTCCTGGTGGTGGCCAACTTCCACGGCACCGCCTTCCGCTCCGCTCGCCTGCGCTGCAAATGGCCCAAGGGTACCAAGCTGCAGGACGGGGTTGGGGCGGGGCTTCTCGCGCCCGTGCCGCAAGGCATGCGGAGGCGCGGAGTTGTTTTTTGGGTATTACTATTATTTGTTATTTTGTGTGTTTCATTTGTTTAGGTGTATTATTATGATTATCATTATTTGTTTACTGTTATTATGTTTTGGTATTAATTATTATTATGATCTTTCGTTTGCGATTCTCATTGTTATTGTTATTATTTGCATTATTTTTATTATCGTGTGTGTTGAACAGGTGTTGTTTGCTTGAAAGAGTTTTGTCTGATGATACCGCCGCAGTTCCTGATACAGGGTTTCATTTGGTTATACTTTGATTAGTTTTAGTAGTGCCTGTTGATTTCTTGGCGTTGTTGTATTTGCATATGGTGGCGTTTTGTTTGCGTGTTGCGTTTGTGCTTGCAGGTGGCATTCTCACCTTGGATTTTGTTGTTGTGTGTGGTGGGGGGTTGTTGTCATTGCGGTGTGTTTATTTGGTGATACGATTAATTGGAGTCATTGTTCTTGGTACGGGGTTGAGAGTTTAACTAGTGTGTATTTAGTGTTGCTGTTTGCCATTGTTATATGGATAAGATATTGGCCATATTTTATTATTTTGATATTTGTTGGTTGTTGCGCTTTTGTGGTTTAGGTTCAATATGTTCTTGAGTTGTTTTCGTGTTGTATTGTTGGTCTAAAATTCTAAAGGGGGTCCAAACTCAACTGGCGTCTTTACTTGTCAAACACCGGATCCGTTGACCGTTTGGTCTTTCCGTTTTAGAGTAGGTCCCAAGAAGGCGATCATGTTTTTACTAATATCCAGGTCGTTTGGGCTGCTTGGTTTCCATGTAGTTCTCCACCAAATTGAAAAGGGTCGCTGAAAGGATCCCTTTTTCACCTGTCACCGAACAACTGGGAACCAGTTTGCCATTTCACTATGCGAGTGTGTCGGTTTTGGGGGGGTTCAAGAAACACCAGAAGGACACCAAAAGGACAGCAACCATTTTGGGGGTCCCCGGAAACACAGACACACATATGCCTATAGCCAGTTTTTGCCACCCTAAGCATCTTGAGCCCTCCAAAGGGCCCATCTTGAGATCCAAAACCAGAAAAGCCAATAGAGTTTTCCCTCAACCCCCCTCCAATGGAGGGTCCCGAACTCTGCTTGGGGCAGTCAAAGTGCTCGCACCTCGCACTTCGATCACAGGACACCCTGGAGCCAGCGGATCCATTGGCACTCCTCGCTGGTGCCGCTTGGCACGCGACTTTTTAGCCAAGTGCCGGCAACTCCGTCCGCCGTTCAATCGATTCGATGGAAGCTATTGGGCATTTCGGTAGGTGGTTCCACTACCTGGTTCCATCGGGATTTTAGTCGAGCTTATTCCTGGCCATCAAAAAGGGAATCCACTCGTAAAATTGGGGCAGCAACTCATTTTTAGTAGGATGGAATCTTGAGGGTCCTGGTATACAACTTGACGATGTTGGAACAAACATGGGCGCTGCTTAGTGCGAGGTGCGGTCAAATTTTCGGGTATGATCCACTCGCTCATTTCCCCCCAATGCATAGTCAAGATCAATTCCTTACTTGAGCTTGGTCGGAATGGTGAACTGCTGAATTTGACTATAGACCGGCAGGATTCCTAGGCAAGCATGCCTTCCTCGTAGGGTTGTTCGGATTTGTGCTCGTTTTGCGGCGCTCGTTTCGGTATGCTTGCTGTGAAAGAAGATGAAGCTAACGGACTGGATTTTTGCTCGAAGCCCAAAACTGCTCGAGAACAGTTGTGGAGGAAGAAGCACGTGTCAATTTGGTCATCGAACCAGGGGAAGGCATAGATTGTTGCAACGGAGGCTCCAGGGAGGAGTTCGTGCGCTTTGGTCACTTAAAATGGTTCTGGCTATTTTGTGTTGTCAACAAGAAGTTTGCAATCTGTGTGGCCAAACATTGATTGTGGGCAGGTAACACCAGGTAGTTTGATAAGGTTTCACATGACGGTTCCATATTCCTTGCCTATATCATGAGTTTTGGATTTATTCCAGCATGGAATAAATGAGAAAGAGTTGGCGGGGCGGCCCTCAGGAAACTCCTAAACCCTAGACCCTTGCAACACAATGATGGGCTCCTTGAGAAAGCAAACAACAAAAGGCAGAGGCATCTAGCTGGGAATGGACGAGCAAACGAGCATGAGTTGGTTATCTATGTTACCACAAAACAATGTTTGCAAGCGAGCAAACGGGAGGTTTCCATGCACCAGCCAGAAATTGTAAACGTTGAGGTTCAATGAAGAAACAATTTCCAGATTATTATCTCCAGTGGGGGGTAAAAGCTGAGGTGCATAATTTGTCTTCTTGATTGATCCACATACCAAAAGAGGATGTTAACTACTTCACCTTCCCGGAGCTTGAAGTTGAAGGGTTGGCAAAGGGTTTGCCAACCACGGGATTGACGGAATTAACCATTTGGGAACCATAGGATTTGCTCGAACATCCGGCTGCAGATTTGCCCCTTGCCCCTGGGTTAGGCATAGAAACGAAAGGAACCGTTCTGTGGGCGGACGAACTCCTGCACCAGTTGATTGGTGATTTATCCCCAGTTTCACACAGCTTTCCGTTCATCCCGACCTGGACAGGATTTGGTCCATCTGCCGTTGGAAGTTTTTTGGGGTGCCAGACTAGGCTCTGAAGGACGACGGAAGGATTGTGGGGCCTGGTTCTTTGGGATTCAGCAGAGACAAGCTTGGGAAAGGGGGGGGGGTTAGGTGAAGGAGGGGGGATTCTGTGATGTCACAATTGTCAGTTGTGCAAGAGAAATACTAAATGGAAGCTGCATTCATGAGCAAAAGCATTCATGGAGGGGGGAAGGGATGGGTAAGTAACGTTGAAACCAAATCTTCTCGTTGTGTTCCCATTGTCTAGGTGTGGCTGTTAGAGACTTTAATTGCACGTACTGGACCTGGGGTTGGGAGTGGAGGGTTGTGAACTGGGGCTATCCATGGAGCCCGGCCAAGTTGATAAGGTTCTATCAAGGCATTGTGCTGTGGATGGACAGAGTTCTGCACCAGCTGGCAGGTGGTTCCCCCCCCCCCCCCTCCCCATCTGCGCAGGTGTTCGTCCATCTACTGTACAGTAGGAACCCTGGATTCTCACAAACCACGGGTTGAACAAAAAAAGTGGGTTTTCCTTCATTAGGGTTGAGGGGATACCTCCCTATAAAATGGGTTGATTAATCCGAGGTCCACATGCAATGTTGGGAGAGCAAGAGAGTAACTGACGGTTTCTCAAAATGGCCCTACCTAGTCTCATGGCTGCAGTAAGGCCTATATGAACCTGAACCATCTTAGTAGAACCAGTGAACAGGTTGTGGGCACTGCAGACAATTGGGTTTCCAATTAATATGGCTGTGGGTCAACACCAATGGTACCATTGGGGTTTTCGGTGCACCACCCATTTGTTTGAACTTTTTTTAGTGGGGATTGAATCGGATGTTCACTGGGGCAAAAAGGAATTTTGACCCATGGCCATATCTCAGGAGGACGGGGAAATCGCCCTACAGCTGCGGCCATTGCAGTCGCTGGTCCTCGCGCCTGCGCCCCTGAGGCCGGTCGGAGCAGTTGCTTGGGGGTCTGTTGCGGCACTTGTTGTTATGTTGTGTGTGTGTTAAAGGAATTCAACGGGAAACCAAGCAAACATACAGGTTTCCTATTGAGAGATAATTACACATATTGTGTCTCTAAAGCCAGTTGACACATCACTTTGCGGACCGGTGAATTGTAGATGAGGTCTGAATGGGTATGAATCATAATTCCACTGACCTCCACACCAAACTCCAAAGAAGAATGACAGTTAAGTCTTATGTAGAGCGTATTTGCTCAAACTTACCCTTGGTGTTTGTTTGTCTTATCCTTAAGGGGTATCTTCTCCAGTAGTCTGGTAGTACAACCTTTGAACAATGTGAAAATAGTAGTTTGGGAAGGGATCCCTTGAAAACAAACGCTCATGTGTTCATGTTTGGGCAGGAAGCCCCTTTCAAATAAAGCAAGAGAAGGGCAAGGGCCTTTGTCCTCCCTATTTGGACAAACTGTTCAACCTACTTAGGCTGAGACCATGATAGTATGTCAATGAACAGGGGTACTACCCTCCTGTCCACGAACAAGGAGCCCAGCAGACCTCTCCAAGAACATGGAACTCACCAGAGGGTCCCTGCTAAAGGAACAAATCGTCTTCCAGGACCCCTCCGTCAGCTTCCATGTGGACATCCCATCGATTGGAACTCAAAAAGAACCCCAAGGGTGTGCCAACCATTGGGTCTCTTCCAGGCTTCCAACACACCCCTTTGGGGCCTCAGAAGATATGGGTGTCGGGTCGTAAAGGCAATTCCAAAGGCAAAGCACGTTGTTTTGGGCGGGGTTTGTAAGTAGGTTTCATCCATCCGCATTGGTGCGAAGTGGATTTCGTCCGTTCAAGAATCTGGTTTTTATGCACCTCGGACTTGGGCCACCTGGTGTCGAGGGCCTGGCACCGGTGAGGCGTTTACCACCAGTGGTGGTCTCTGTGTCGCCGTCCCATGGGGCGGTGCTTGCTCAGCTCCAAGGCCCGGCCGTTGTTCGACGCCGTTCGAGGCCGTCCGCACGTTGGTTTTGTGCGTCCCGTTGGCTGGGGAAATCCCGGTGGTTTCCTGTCTAAGTCCCCCAGTAGTGCCCTTTTATTACCCTTTTTTGGGGGAGGGTTCCGCTACTACAATACGCTACAGAAATTTGGGTACCCTTGTTCTAACCTCTCTACTGGAGCACCTGGCTGTAACTTTCACATGGATGCGGCAAATTTGAACGTTGGAATGTGTGCACGCATATTTGGCCCCATTCCGTCGGTTGCACGCGGATTCGGAATGTCTATTGCTTCAAGCTGACAGGGCCTCTTTAGAATTTTTTGTACACCACTGCAGATAGATTGCGGTAGATTTGTTGTTGGATGTACCCAAATCTACGAGTTGCACCCCCTCCCCCCATTCTCTGCACGTAACACCCACCCCATTTGTTCCACGGCTTTGCCCCCTTCTGAAGAGAAGGATCCCTGAGTCGGGCTAGTTCAGGGAACCCGGACTGAACAACTTTAAATCAACGTACTCCGATCGCTTGCAAGCCAAGGACAAAAAACACGAGTGGATCGTATCCGATTTTGGAAGCTTGCTAGCACCCATTGAACAAAGGGGAACCCAAACCAGATCAGTGGATGTTATAGCACATAAATATATGCACATACAATCCAATTCGTACATGTCTCTACACCTCTTATGTGATATGTTGGCAGACGCTCTGAAGTGAGACATAAAACATTCAGACCGGAAGCTCCCACACTTTGGAACTTTGAGTTGCAACAGGGGATGGATTCGTGACTTCCGATCCAAACCGGCAGTTGGAGGGAAGCAGTGTGTTGTTTGAGGCTAGCCTGTTTGAGTTCATGTTATATATAGAGGGAACGCAAATTGCAAAGGGAAACCAACGAGAAACGAAGGGGAAACAAAGCATTTTGAGGAGTTGCCCGATTTTGTGCCATGGTTTATGGTTAAGTTTATGTCGACCTGCCCAACTTCATTTCGAGACAGCACCGCCAAAGTTGAGCTAAGCAGAGCTCCCATACCCACTCAATGAGCAACCTGAAATCCCGAAACCGTAGGGCCGCATTTTGCCATTGAGCCCTTTCCTCTTCTCCTGCGGGCCGGAGGTCTTTGCCTATGTTGCGAGCTCACCGGTTTGGGGGTTTAACGAGCGAAAGCCATGATAAAGGTCCCTTACTTGGGGATCCTGTACATCAGCTTTTGGAATTATAGTAAAACTTGCAGGTTTCTTCTGCCGATGGCGTCTTGGCAACAGATTGAACAGGATTCGATTGCCGGAGATTGCCAGGACCAACCCTGTGGTACGCACACCACAACCGATTCCCATTCGCCATTCTATCTGGTTCTACTGCTGTACCTGGTTTGTTTGTTTTTTTTTTTGTGCAAGGCCTATATGTACACATTTGCAACCAATCATCAGTGGGTTTGGCGCGCTGCTCATGTGAATCTCGAGGACCATATTAACTGTTTGTTTTTTATTATGTTTTCGCTTTTCAATTATATAGCCACTTTCTGGCTTTTACTCCACGCCCCCCTTCCGTTTTTCTATTCCCGTGTTTCGTAAACCCCGATTCTTTCAAAAGTCAACTTCAAACAGAAGCACCATCTCTACAACAAACCTAAAAAAGACAAAAATCCTGGATCTTCCAAATCATGGCATAAACGTAAATTCCGGAAACTACAACTTGTTTAAGAGTCTGAGTGAAATACACGGAGTTGTCAAGCTCCTAGTTTTTGCGGTAAAATTGTAGAAACTGATTGTCGCTCCTGGAAATTGGTTTGCACACCTGACCTAGGAATCGCAATCATTCGGTACTTGACGGAAGGAGCCCTCCAATCAGAATTGTATGTGTATGTATATACATATTTTTCAGAGTTTATAGCTTTTCAAAATTAAGTTCAGCGCACAAACCCGGAAAAAAGGGGGACACAACAAAACGCACAAGCCAGCAAAATATGCACTGGATCGCACAGAGTTGCATAATTGGTGGGATAGAGCACAGAGTTGCATAGCGAGTTGTTTACCCCCAAGAACAACTCCTAGTTTTTGATGTTCAGTCTGCTTTTTGCAAGCCACTCCTGCTTTTTGATTCATGCATTTGCAACACCTGAAGCTCCCGGTTTTCAGGGGGTTTTCTGGAAATCACCCTGAGAACGGACAAGCAAACAAAACGAAACAACAGCCGGGAGACGGAGGACCCAGGTTGTTTATTTGTGTTCAACCCCCCCAGTTGTTTTGACCCTCTGTGTGCGTCCATGTCTGTTTCTTCCATTTGCCTAAGACTATTTGTTTACTTTCCCCCTGTTGGTTTCCAAGGGCATCCATCACAACTGTTTTTTTTTGGTTTTTTTTTGGAGGGGGGGGCTTAAGCAAATAATCAATCCATGACTACTGGACTTTTGTTTTTGGCTTAGGCAAATGGAAGGTTTGTGTCTCCCCTAGGCGAGGTGCAGCTGCGGATCCGCTTCGATCGGCCCATGCAGCCCACCGCCCGTGCTGTGACGCTGGACGGGGAAGGCCCAGCGAAAAGGGAGGGGTTGGGGGTGGGGGGGGGGCCAATAAAGAAGGCCAAATGAGACCCTTGGTGTCTTCGTAGGTTTTTGCGGGTTTCTGCGGGTTTTTCTTTTCTCAGTGTTGGTGGTGTTTATTTATTTCATTGGTGGTTTTTGATTGCTACCATGCAAAGATTTGGGAAGTTGGGGGACTGAAACTAGCGGGCCAAAGGACCGGTGATTCGGTCGCTCGCTTCGCAGGCATCTTCTCCTGTCTCGACGACACCTGCCAAGAGGCTTCCGGCTTGCGCCGTTTCGCGCGGGTCGCAGCATATGGCGAAAGTGGGTCTCATGCTGGGTTTGGCTGAATTGGTTACCCTTCCACCTACAGTAATGTTAATGTTGGATCAATCAAGAGGAGGACCGTACTCAGTAGTTGCCCTTTTCGCAAGGTTTACGTTGGTTTGCTTTGAAGTTTTATTGCTTCAAGTTTAGCACCTGATTGCAATATTCGATGACTGCACCAACTTGGCAGACTTCTCCCTTTGCCCTTGGATGTTTATGCAAGTAGGATATGACCATTGTACGGCGACGACCCTTACCCAAATAACCATGTTGACCTGCGCAAGCTGATTGAACATCCAAGATTATCCCCTGTAGCTGCATAAACGGAGAGGCCAGCCAGTCTTGGGTTTGGATGATTCGTTTGCTTAGTAGGAGTAAGCTTGATTTGTTTATGACCCGGTGCTTCAAAAGGTTTCCCTCGAATACTGCAATGTTTGCGTGGGATATACATATATATATATACATACATACATGCATGATAGTTTCATCCATTCCCTAAACATCCCAACGGTCCAGAGCCTTATCTTAAGCTTAGCAAAACCAAAAAGTGCGAGCCTTGTCTGATCCCTCCGGATCAACGTAGGTAACCAGCGGACTACTTGCGAGGAGATCAAAGAAGTGCCCTAAGCAACAACTCCATTGCAGGGGGAAAGGGACCTCCATTAGTTTTGGTTTTGGACCTCAAAAAGTGCCTTTGTCAGGCCAAGACGCTTAGAGAAAGGATATTTGTTTTCAAGTGATCAGACTTCTATAGCTTTCGTTTCTCAGGGTCTGATTTGGGCTTGGAGGAATTTTGGTTTTCGGTTTGGAGCGCCATACAGGGGTCTTACCCTTTCAAGGGTGATTCATTTTACTGCCCTTTTAGCAGTATTTTCGCATGCCCCCCCCCGGCCCTCGGACGTGGCAATGCGTTTCTGTGCTTTTCGCCAGGTCGGGGCAACTGTTCAGCTCGAGCAACTTGGATTCAACGTGTGAAGTGCCATTTTGGGTTGAACTGGTCATACCCGGTTGATTTGTTTTGTTTAGTAATTACTTTGAGTTTGCTTTGGTGTTACTTTGGTTTGCTTTGGTTTTCCTCTTGTTTCTCTGGCTATCGCCGCATTGTCCTTTTCCCTGAGAGAAGTGGCTGGGTCTCCAACATTGCATCGTCGTGGACCAGTGCATGTTTTGGCCTTAAGATGTGTGTGCCCATGCACCGGTGAAGAAGCCAACGGAGTTTCTTTCTTTATCGGATATGGTTTTGCAGTGTGACGGTCGGCAGTGTGACTGTCGGCACGAACATGCCAACATGGGTTTGGTCTTTAACACCGACAAATGCGAGCATCTGAACATGTTTGTTGGTCCCCAGAGTTGTGCTTCAGCCCCGAACAGAGAGAGCTCCCCCACTTCAGCGCGGGAGATGTTGGCGAGGGTCCAGCTCGGAGCTGTCTGATGCCGGTTGTGCTGACTAGTCGCATGTCGACCACTGCAAAATCCTTTTTCTTCGCGCACTTCTTTACATCAGGCCGCAGCCCTCTAGGATTGCAGTTTTGCCAGGTGTCATTGCCTCTCTGGTCTTTCTTTCCCCTTCCCTGCTCGCTATTTTCTGCCTGCACACGTGCGCCCATTTCCCTCGACCGCCTCCTGGCCTCTTATTGGCCTCCCCTACGCCCTTAGGAGCGCTTGGGGCATTGCATTGAGTTTCCTCTACAGTGCCTCCTTTTTTGGTTTCAGCGCCGGCTCTGTAAGGAACCATGACAACGCGGGGATCACACAGTCTAACCGTTTTTGCAGGGGGACTAAGTCTGGTCAAGTTCTGAGAATCCTGGACATGTTGTGTTGGACAAACCTTATCATTGCGTGTACCTGCGAAAGACAAAAAGCTGCAGCTTGGGGAAATTCACGTTGCAAATTGGGGGAAACCATCATGTATGGAGTGCACAGCACACATGATTCTTTGATGCTCATGACTTGATCTGGCTTCAAAGCCCCCCTCAACCCAAATCTGGACACTTGGACTCTTGATTGCAGTATGGTCGTTTGCGTTCTATGTTTGGATATGTTTTTGCCCTGCTACTTGGGCCCTTGGGTCAAGTCATCATAGCCAGAGATTGCACTATATCCTTTTTTGGCAGTTTTAATCATCGCCTCTTTGGCCCCTTTAGGTGGGGTTCGGATCGGGTGATGTTTTTAGGTTGGAATTATTCTGGGACCCTGACAAGAAAACGTGTAATTCCTCTTTCTTGTGACACTTATGAGAAACCATCCACAATGTCAATGTGAATTAGTGTCTAATACTGTGGGTGGGCAAAACCCAATTGTCCGTCCAGAGCAGCCACCGCATTTTCGAGCCACGGTTTTCAACTGCCGGGGGGAAGGTTCCCTCACCAAAGGCACAGCCACAATCAAACCCCGACTAGTTGGAGGCTAAGAGACAATCCCAACCATGGGCGCCTTCGCCCCGGCTTTTTCACTCACGGCTTGGGGTTACGCCCATTTTCAGATCGATCGGTGCTTCTCACTCACATCCCGCTCCCCGAGCGCGCCCCCGAGGAACCTCTGCGACGGCACCCACCGCCTCGAGGCGCCCGAGGGCCTCGCGGAAAGTCTTAGCGGAGACTCCGTGGGCAAGACGGAGGCCAGTGGCTCGGCGGAGACCACGGCGAACAAATCGGCGCATGGGCCTCTTCATTTGTTTGTGCATGTGTCCTTTTTCCTTGGCGTTTTGTGGTTTGTTTGCTCCTGTTCATTTTCGGTGGGCAAGAAGAACGTGTCCTTTTTCACATGCCAAGGGTTGTAAAGTTGGGTCTTAGTGGTTCATAGGCTTACCCACCGGGCCAAGCCGGCTGGCTCCGCTTGGTTTGCCCAGATCTTCGCAGGTTCTTCTTTTTTTCGGGTTCCCCACAAGCTCAGTTGCCCAAAGCGAATGCACCTGAAATGACATGTTGGTTTTCCCATGTTGGGTTCCCCATTTTAGTGATGGCCCCAAAAGGTGATCATCTTGTATTTCTGGGTCCGAACTGGGCAACTGAGCTGTAGATGGTCTGGTGTGGCCTGATTTTGGTGGCGCTCTTTGGCCACAAAATAGCGCTGTCTCAAGTTCGCGAATTTCTTCCACGGGAACAAGTCGAAGGGGAGCGTTCAGCACCCAGCCGTACGTTGGTTCCGAGATTTTGTTTTTGTTGGATCTGCAAAACTTCCGCTTTCCTTGGACACCACTAGTGAATCTGTGACCACTGTGGGTATCTTAGTATCTTACTATATTATGGAAGGGGTTATTTACTCTAGACCTCGGGCGGGAGCACGGGAGACGGGTTTGGAGAAGCCTAGGGTAGTCACGTGGGTGAGTTGGTGCCCTTATTGGGTAGTTTTAGGAAACATTAGAAAAAACCACCTATTGTTAGGGTCTGATTTCTACTTTGAGACAAACCCTTTGCGCAATCAAAACTGCTTCGGGTAGATGAAGGATAGCAAGGGACAGTCCCAACCTGAATATATCATATAGATGCCTTTGGGGAGAAAGTGACTGAACGCTAAGGTCTAAAGATTGTTTCCTTTTCCATTGTGTTCTGACATGGCTCTTTCCAACACTCGCGGTTCCTTTGTGTTTGGGTTGGGCAACGCAACCCTACTAATCAACTGGTACCACCCCCCCCTTTTCGGGTCCGTCCCTGTTTGGAGGCGGAAGGCTTGGGGTTTGCAACAAAGGCGCTGGCGTAGGGCCCATTACAGGTGACGACTATTTAGGTGACGCCCCCAACATCACTTTCAAGTGGTAATGTTAACTCCGGATTGATCCGGAGGACCCCCTACTAGTCAGAGGGTTTTCCCAACTAAAATAGGAACCACCCCTGACTGCTACGGTCCTCCGGATGAATCTGAAATCAAGACAACATATATTAGTCAACAAGAAACAAATGAGCATTCCCTCGAAACAATGGTTTTGAAGACAACCAAAAGCAGTCACTGTCATAGACTCACGTATGTGAGTGCCAGGGTTGGGAAATGCAAGCACGTCTCCGAGGAAACACCACTGGAAGGGAAGAATTCTTGGGGACCCCTCCACACGGGTGGTTTCCTGTTAGTTCCTTTTATACCCATTGCAAGAGGGGTCCACTACTTGGTGAAACTGACATATGCTTGTAACTTCATGGAGTTACGGGCGTCGCTCCCACCTCCCAGCCTGCCTTCCGAAGAGGAATTAACATTGCTTGGGGGTTCGAGGGCTGTTGGGGATACCGCCTCACATTGGTTGTCTAGAGGCCCCTAAGGGCTCCATATTTTTCATTGGACGGCCCCGTGTGGGCTCTGAAAAAGGGGGAATCAGGAGCAGTGAAAAGCACACACCCCAAAACGCCCTTGAACAGCTGGTTAAACAAGAGGCCAATAGGGGTGTTAACACTGTTAAGGGCTTGAATCGGCCTTTTGCAAGAGGCTTCCAAAAACTAGCATTGATTTCCCATGGACATGAATCAAAATGAGTCTCATGGTACTCCACAAAAAACCCATTCTATTTGTTTCGCCCCAAGCATGTTACCCCGGGAGAATGGCTCGCCTCGCATCCAAGGCTTCAGGTCTTACTTCATTGCACGGCCCTCAGCTCGTGAGACACCAACAAAAAGCAACTCGCTCCCCTGAGAATGTTCAACCTGTAAACGGTTTTTGTTTGGTAGTTTGTTTGTTTGTTTGTTTGTTTGGTTGTTTGTTTGTTTGGTTGGTTGGTTGGTTTTGAGGGGTGGCTTCTGTTCATCCGAAGGGCAGACTGCGGACCCAGTTCACAGGATTCTGGACACTGGGCTGGGATAGTAATTACCCTTGTGGAAACTGACGATCGGTCAGGGTTTCTTCCGTTTCCATGCATTTCCTGTGACCCTTGGGTGGAAAACTCCCGGCCCACAAACCCATGAAAGGGTATATTGGCGTGGTTCCCTCTTTTTGAGGGCCGGCACTGTCCCTTGGTGGTTTCCCCTTGAAAAAAAGACGCCCACATCCATCTTCCACTTGGTGATCCTTGTGCTTTCTCGCATGTGTGGGAGACGGATTGCCCCTTCAAAGGACATGTCAGGTGCCATGAGGGGCCAGGTTAGGAAGCTTCCATTTGCTTAAGAACATGTGTGAGTTGTCCTTGTTTGTTTCAATTCAAGGGAATTTATCACTTCTGGAAATGTATGTTTACTGTTTCCAGGGGGCCTGAATAAAGCAACTGGAAGTAAGCTGTTGGAAACGTGGAGTTAACCCAGTTCTTGGTAGGTTATAACCCAGCCCAAATCTCCAGTGGCGCTCTCCGCGGGAGGCAAGGGACACAGACCCCCGAGCAGCTGCGCCCCTCAAGCGCGTGAATGCACTCGAAACCGAGTCGTTGCCACAGATCCTAACTGAAGGCCCGAGTGGTTGAGTGGTTACTGTCCCATTCAGTGGGGGTACATCCCACATACCTGGCTTTCAGTCTTTGAATTATAAGACACCCATAGGGTCGGAATCCAAGAGTACTAAGCTCCCAAATTGGCAGATGTCCTGTTGGTTTCTCATTACGACCCGACCCAAAAGGGGCGTCTCTTAGGGAAGCCGCTTTTGGGAGCCATGACTCCAGCTGCGAGGTAGACAGACACTCGGGCATCGTCGCTGAGCCACGCATGCATGAGTTACTCGCCGGCAAGGGACAGCGTTTCTTGGATGTTGAGACTTAGCAAGCAGATTGTACCATTGCTTGTCAACAAACAGGGGACTTACTTCCCTCATTTTCCTGCTTATAGATTCCATCCTGATTACCAAGTGGATTCAGCACCCAACTAAGACAACCACGGAGCCTTTACTTGGTTGCTCTTTGGTTTAACCTGCAACCTGTTTGCTTGTTGGACATGACTGTTTTTCTGACAAGTAACCTTTTGCTGAGGATGAGAGCGGAATGTTCATGGCATACGTTTCATGACGTTTCATGTTTCTTTGTTTAGCTCTGTACAGTGCCGGTTGTGGGTAAACTTGCCGCAAAAGCAGAAGGGTTGCTTTTTCTTGGGCTGCTTATTTCAGCTGAGCTTCAGTCAAAATTATCAGTAGTCGATGGTTCATGTTGGAGGGACATTGGGGGAGCTTGTTGAATGTTCCCACAAAAAGGCATGGGGACTCACTAAACGTCCCATGTCCTTTTGGCGGAACAAGCAATTACAACCGTGGCTCAGGTGAGAATATATATATATACTCTGCATATATATATATATATATATATGCACATACACATTTACGAGTTCGGTAGAGGAGTTTGGTACGTAAATAGCAACAGCTACATCATTTAGCTATTGTATATTTCCATGGATTCAATCAACGCGATGTACTGTGCTGCTCGCTAGTTTCCCACAATGTGCCCTAAGGGGATTCACCTCATCATTGCAAAAGGTCAGGCAACTCAAAGTCTTTTCCCAGATCTTCCCAGCGGTAAAGATGAAGCTTGCACAAGCTGCTCGAAACTTGGGACGATTCCTGGTATGTACACATGCGGGCAAGGTGCGGCAGGCAGAATCGCATGCAGTGTGAACAGTTTTTTTTCTTCCAACCGTAGACGTCGCTCTTTCCAAACTCGAGTTCTCACAGTACGACGGGATCAAAGTTCTTTACAAAGCAATTGACAACATGTGTCCCGATCTGCTTTTGACGGCCTTTGTCAACGAACGGTCAACACCTCCCGCATCGCCAGCTGTTGTCAAGGAAACCCCTTTTCGCTGACAAAGAGGATTGAAGCTGGAGACGTGCGGCAGGGTGCTAGGGCGGGGGGCTGCTGCTTGGAGGTGCCGTTCAACTTGGTTTTCAGGATGTTTTCCTTTCTGGTTCCTTAGTTTTCCCCGTTCAATTTGGTTTTCAGGATGTTTTCCTTTATGGTTCCTTAGTCTTCCTCAGTGTGACTGGTCTGTTGCTTTTTTTTTGCGCCAGCCGCGGTTTTCCCGCTGGCGCTTCAGTGAGTCGGTGGCCGAGGCACCGAGGGCTGATCTGCGACCTGGGGCGCAAGCTCTGCCACAACGCCGCGGGGGCCGGATGGCTCCGCATCCGCGATGTGGGCGGGCGCCCTGGCACCAAAGAACCCTTTTCACCCCGGACGAATCAGCCCCAGTGTTTTTTGCTATGGGAGCGTTCCCCTGCAAAAGTGATGCAGCCCCACTAAGCCCAGGGACACCCCCCTTTTTAGGTTTTTTTTTTCAACACTATCTAAGTCACGTGAAGCGAATCGACCTGAAATGAGCTTTTCGATTTTCCCATGTTAGATTTGTTTGGTTAGAAATAGATGGCACTGGTTTAGATTTGTTTTATCCCGTTTACTAGGGCCATTTGTTTTCCAAAAGGTCAGCTATGGCTTCCAACTGCTTTGGTGTACCTAATGTCAACCTAGTGGAATTAAACTCACTGTTCATTAATTGGGGAGTGTCCGCTTTTAGTGGGGAGTCGGTATCATCTTGATGTGTCACACACCCCTAGTTTGATGATTTATTAACATGCTTCCCATTGCTGGGGTCCCCTCCACAACTATGTTATGATATTTTAGGGGTAGACTGAATGTGGGCCACTGACGCAAACAGGGGATGCCCCAAACAAATTGAGGGGAGTGGTCAGAGTTCCCCCGCCCTGAAGTAGTCTTTAAGTACTGGCTAGTAGCTAGCATTGGTTTGGTATTTGTTTAGATTCGTTGAGCATTGCTTGGTGTTGCCTTAGTGATGCCTCAGGATTGGTTCAGAATTGTTTTTTTCTACTGGTTTAGTACTAGTTTAGTCCTGCCTTAGTACTGATTGAATATTGGTTTAGTATCGATTTTCTTTGTGCTAGTTGAGTACTGGTCATCTTCGGTTCTTTTTTGGAAATCTTTGGTCCGCTTCCGTCCTGTCCTCCTTGATTAGCGTTTGCTGAGGATTGCTTGGTGCTGCGTCAACGATGGTTGAATTTGCTAGTAATGGTGAGTTTCAGCCAAGGACATGTGCAGATTGGGGGCGCGGACTCGTTTCTGGGTTTGTGGGTTTTGACGCGCCGACTGATTGCATCAAGAAACTAGTTACCTTGGTCTGGACCATTGTCCTCTCAGGACCCTGTGGGTTCCATGTGGACAGGAGGGTAGCAACTGAAAGCATTTCCGTGCGCTGGCCCGGTTCCGTGGCATGAAAAGGAAGCTATTGTATTCAGTTTTATTGTCCCACTGCGAATCAGCGGGGCCATAAAGTAAGTACTGGGTTTCCCTTGTTCCCCAAGTGCTGTTCTCGGGTTCAGATGAACCAACATGTGCTGGAACCATCCGGCATCCGGTGCACACTCAGCGCTCCCCCCTTCGCGTCCTATCCCCTCCTCGCTTCCCCCTTCTCGTCCTGCCTGAAACAATTAGATTGCCTTAGCAGTCTTGCTGGAGCAGCCTCGATTCGGGCGTGGAACAAACACAAAAAGGAGGTGTTCCCTTTGGCATTCCCTTTAGCAGGGTACGCAGCAAAAATATGTTCTGAATATGCTTCACAATGTTGGTCAACGGCTAACCAAAGAGTACCAGATTCAACAAAAGTATTCAGTACTATTCACTACTCGAGAAAACAACACGAATACTTCATACAAGACGTTGCCTTCCCCCAGACAAAAATAGGACCTCCCGGTAATTCCCAATTTCTTCACCAAACCTGCCCAGCGGCAATGCGACCCTGGCTTCTCCAAGTCCAGCCTGCTCATCATTGTTCATTTGCTTCGTTCAAAGTTTGGGACATGCGCATGTGTTGTGTCTCCTTCGATCATTGTGTGGTGCAACAAAATTCTCCGAGTTGTCCAATGGGTGGGGCCTTTCCAAACAACGGGGCACGCTGCCAAAGTCGAACCATTTGCTTGGCGCAATGCCCTTTTTGTCCGATGCTCATTCCATCTGGGTAAACCCCCTCAAGGTCTGAAGTCTGATGCTTATGGTGTGGGTGCGTGTATGGGTGGGAGTGGGAATGGGTGTGGGTGTGGGTGGGTGCGTGTGTGGGTGGGAGTGGGAGTGGGTGTGTGGGGGTGGGGGTGTGCGTGTGTGTGTGGGTGTGGGTGGGTGGGTCGGTTTCTGTGTTGCCTTGATCTCCGAGGAACTGGACCGCCTGGCGCCCCTACGAGGAGCAGAGCGACTGGCGAGCCACCAAAGGCGCCATCTCATGTCAGATCGATCGATGGGGCCAGCACGGGCCGGTGCGGGGCTTCAAATAGCATACTGTGGATGGACGAAATCCATTCGCACCACTTGAAACCATGGTTGAAAACGTTCCATTGGAGCCCGAGACCTCATTATTTGAGGCAAGTGGGGGCTCAGAAACCAGGGTTGCTTACGTGGTGCGAAATTGGATTTTGCAACCATCCCAGAGTAGGTGTCCTGTTGATCGGTTGCTTGGTTGGAGATGGGTTCCACTGGTTTAGATTGGTTTTGTGGCCGTCAAGCTACTTTGAAGGCAACCTGTGTTCAACAGGGCTGCAGTTGGGGCATTCCACTCATAGAACTGCTCGACCACCCCAAACACGCCCGCAAGTTCGATCTGTTTTCGTCTTTGCAGAGGGACCCGATGTGTTTGGGGTCCACTCAAAGCGAGTGGTGAGAACCCATTTGCATGAGGTTCCCGCTGTTATTGCTTCAAGAAAAGGTCCCCTGCTTGGACGTCAGCCCACTTACTTTGCGTATAACCATGCGCATATTGCGGACGAATCCCATTCCAGTTGCAACCAGAAGCTGGTCATCCAAGTCTGTATCAGAGAACATCTTCATGTGAACGGACAAGATCAGGAGGCTGGAAAGCCCGGGAAACCTCATTTCTGTTCAAAGCCCATTTCTGCGCTCTCCTCCAAAGTTGCGTTATATTTGAGGCTGACGAGCTAAACATGAAAGATAATTGGACATGTTATTTTGCCCAGATTTTGTGTTTAGAGGGGCCTTGCTCCGCCTTTTGTTTTTCATATTCGGTTCTGGACAGGCGGCGTCTTCCCACCGAAAGGGGGGGGACATGGCTGATGGACGTGTCTTGTTAATGGTTTATGTTTCCAGTATGGGGGGTGTCAGGCTCAGTATCCTTTTTTGTGGTAGGGAAGGCCAAGAGGAAAGCCGCAATTTGTTGGGTGTCCGAATCCTAAAAAAAACCGCCCATGTGTTGTTGCAACTGCCTTCTTTATGTGGCTTCCATTTTTTGTTTGGCAAGGCTTGCCACGGTTGAATGGCTTGCACCTCTTGGTGGATTCCTTTGTTTTGTTTTTTCCCCAAGCTCTGGGGGTCGATAGCCTCAGATAGAAATTAGAGGGAAGCTGATGGGTTTCCAAGAAAGATACCCTCCCTCCCTCTAAGACGCATGGACGCTGCATGGACGCTGGCAGTAGGACTGTGGAAGGCAATCTGATGAAGGGATCTGATGTTTGGCAGAACGCCTCTTCGGCCGCGGAAGCCCCTTGTCCATGATAGCGAGGCAACGCGTCGCTCCGAGGCGTGGGGGTGCTGGTGCAATACCACGCAGAGGGCAGCGCCAGCTTCATCGCAGGACGCGTAATCGATTTCCTGGAGGGTCTCCGAAGATCTGGGTGTTCAGTGGCTATGACTTTTACTGAAAAGTGGTTGGACATAAACCCCCACCTCAATGATGTCCACCAGTTCGGGTCCCTCATTAAAAGTCATACATACCCCTTTGGGAGTGTTTGTTTTTTGAGTGCACCCCTTCTCTTTGGTTGTTTTTTGGGGGAATCAAAAGGAAAGCCACTGAAAGCCACCTGTTTTAAGGGCGGCGGCTAACGGGAACATATGCAAGAGAATCAGAAAAAGGGAAATACTTTCACCTGGATTCAGCTACCTACGGTGAGTAAGGATATTGCCTCTAGGCTTTTTCTTGGTCTTTCCTGGTTACCCGAAAGGGTGAATGGACCCATAGGGGTTGAGCTCGGCCAAATCAGGAGGGCTGTGGGTGGTGGTCTGGACCCCAAAGGCGTCATGGTAAGGCCTAATATGAACCGATAAAACCATATCGGTAGAACCCAAGTCTCCCCCCTTTTCGGTGTTCTCCCGCTTTGGTTGGGTGGCATTCCATTCTTACTTTTTTGTGGTTTGCGACAAGTGGTGTTTTTGTTTATCGTGGGGAGCTTGACGTTTCTCGGGAGAAGATGAAGAAGCTTGGGGTTGAGCATTGACCAAGTTGCAAGCTGACTGAGGGGTGGTCCTGGCACACCAATTTTAATGACAACGCGGACGCGAGGCCAAAGTTGTTTTACGGAAGCAAGTCGGAAGCGTCATTCAGGCGCCCTTTTGACCAATCTACCTCTGAGCTTTTGGACAGTTCATCATATTAGCTCATCCACACACACAGAGACTCCCTACACGTCGCCCTTTGGGCCGTTTGAAGCATCACCAGTTGGGCCAATTGAAAGGGATTGTCCTCTTGGGGTGGGCGCCCTTTGGGGTGGATCCCCCAACGCACTCCAATCGTTGATCTGCCATGCCAAGCGTTGCTGCAACAGGTTGCAGTAGCATCCTACCTTTGGACCATTGGACATTTCTCGGGGGCATGAAACAATTGAACATGGCACCAAAGGGAAAGGCAACAGTGGATGCCCTTGTTTCAGGTAAAATGTCCGAATCTGATTTGCCTCAGGTCTTTTGAGCCTCACTCGCCCCAAGCGAATCGACCTTTTGGTCCTTTTTTGGGTTCCCATGTGTTGAGTGGCCCCAAAATGTGCTCACACTGACTAAGGTTTAGCATCCTGTTTCGGCATTCAAGGAGGGGTGCGTAGCCTCCACTTGGAGAGCAGAAGGTATAATACAACCGAGGGCAGGAGCCACTATCCAAGAAGGCAGCTACAAGAATTGTTGGATTCTGTGTTTTTGGTGGTGTTTGGCAAATATCCTGTAAAGCACAAACATATCGTTTTGTTATTGCAACTCATTCTCAGCTTCCCGCTAATTGGTGGTTTGGATTTGTGGTTTGGTGGTTTGGGGGGTGGCTTCCCTTCAGCCCTCTACAAGCACCGGGGGTTCAAATCCAAATCCAAATCCGAACCACCCATTAAGGTGTGTCCTTTTCAGGGGATTTTAAAACTAGCGGTTTTCATGTTGATTCCCCAAAAATGTGTTTACCTTCCTGGCCCCAAAAAAAGACAATCCTGTAGTGTGTTTTTTGGTTCCCCCACAAAAAGGTAGTTACCCTCCACACTCAGAGGCTCTGGGCTCAGCACAGAAACGCCGCTCCGGTCCATTCGCCAGGAGATTGCATGGTGCAGCCCTTGCAGCGGTGCCACAGCAGCTGGCATCGGCACATGCACTTGCAACTCAGCTGCGCGGTCTGAGGGCCAAAAGGGGTCCCTGAATTCCATCCACTTGTATACGTGTTTGTTTGTTTTTATGTTTTCCTGTTGCTTTTCAAGTAGTTCTGTCACTACTGAAAATAGTGGTTCTCTTCCTGGGGACTCAGCAATTGGAGGAAGGGATCCCTGAGAGTGATTGTGTTTAGTGCATGTAGGAATTCCATCTTAATCTTCACCATTTAGAGACCTTTCATCTTAATCAGGAGTACTGCCAATTACACGTGGCCATAAATAAATGTTGTTTTGGTAAGCCGGTACTTCAGGGCCCTTTCGCAGTTGTCTCCCAAAATCACCGTCTCTGAGTGTCTTTGTCAAGATCGGAGACTAAAAGGGTTTATCCTTTTATCCTTTGCGAAGTGATTGCTGCAATTTTCAGGGACCCTAAACCCCCTCCAAAGCTTGTGTGATCCATCAAAAGACAATTCGGCTGGCCATTGCTTTGCCTAGGCTGGCTACTTTTCACTAGCCTCTAAGCGCACTTGGGTGCCACAATTGGCTGGCTTTTGTGGGACGGATCGCAAATGAGCAAGAATGTGTATATCCATTATACCACACACAACGAGCAAACGAAGAGGTTTCGTGCAACAGCCAGAAGGGCTTAGTATCCACAATGCCGTGGTCAACACTGGAGCCCCTCGTGGCTCCAACCTGTGGTTACATGATATTTGTTTACTATGTGAATGTATACATAATATGTCACTAATTGTAGCGAGCTCCCTGGGGCAAAACACATGGTCAGTCAAGGCGTCTTGGGGATTCATTCAGGTGTGTGCATTATAGTCATTGCTGACAACCGGATGATTTTCCTTGCCTGTGCGGATCGTTCTCAGCCAAGTTGTGAGCCCCTGGCATGAATCCTTGTGCTATCGGTCAATTAGTCTCTGAATGAATCGTGGCATTTCGTGGCCTTGTTGGAAACCGGGCCACCAAACTTTACGGTAATCAAAACTTGCTTGAACAGCAGAGGGATTAAACAAAAAGTGTAGCTTGCAAGAGACAGCCACGAACTGAGCAAGTGATCCGACTCCCGTTGTTGCATTTTCTGTTGTTTAAAACCTTCACTCGTCAGAAGTCTTCGCTTTGGAACTTTGTGCGGTCGTTTTTTTTTCCCCCGAGGCGTGGGGACTTCAACCAGTGGGGCGAGGCAAAAGATCTGTCCATGCAGAAGGTGGAGCATTTCACCTGGGCCGCCAACTTCACCACAGACACTTTCGTGAAGGCCTGCGAAAAGGGGAGAATACGGCCAATGGGTCCAAGTAGGCCTACCCTGAAAAATGGAATTGGAGGAGGGTTCGACGCCCTGAGATCTCCATTTATAGTTTCGGTGTCCCTTTGGTGGTTGGAAGAATGGAGCATGGAATTTGGGGACCCCCCACCCTTTTCCCCGTTAAGAGGGGGGGGATTGTCCAAACACCTTGCAAATTTTCTTCACCCTGTGATGCTTGAAAGGCATCCTCAGAGGGTTCTTGGAGCATCTGCTTGGATGAAGGCTTTGTTTTGCAACTCTAGTTGCTCAAAGTGCGTTGTTCCCTGTTTTTCTCTAGCGAATAGGCCGCAATATAATCCACATAATTGACCTGCCTAGATAAACAATACACAACATCATTTCCGCCTCATATTCCTTTGCTGTGCTAGGTCCGCAAAAGTGACATCCTTAACAATGCCTTCTCAATGGTTTGAAGGAAGCTCACCGGTACCCAGACGTAGTTTTGAGAACAGGTCCCTCAAACTGCCTTGCCACTTGAGTGGACCCACCTTCACCCCCTAAACGTAATGCTGAGGACCCTTGAAAAAAATGTTCGCCCCTAAGGGATCCAAAAACTGGTGCGGAGGCGTAAGAGACAAACATATGTACAACTACAATATACGTATAAGTTTTCTATCACTTGGTATTTGATGTTGTTTGCTCTTTATTCATTCATGTATGCATTTAGTTATGTAGTTATGTCTTAAGCGGTTTATTTATTGATTATTTATTCATTTAGTTATTCATTGAACTATTCATTTACTTGTTTATCTATGTAATCATATGTATATACGCATCCACTTTAGGTGATGACTCCCCGCTGGCCTCCGCCGCTTGTCGCATGCGCGCGAGGTGAAGTTTGCGCCGGAGGTGGGGTGGCTGAAGTCCTATGGCCTCCATCCCAGCCGAAAGCTGCACTATGGCCTGCCCCTCTTCGACAAGCGCAGCACCGCGGTTTCGACGACGGTGGATGCGGTTTCGGTTTCTTCGGGTTTCGGATACGTCCGGGTGCCACGATGGGACTTTTTTTTTGGGGGGGGGTGCCGGAAAAGTTGAGACACTGTGTCCTTAACCCATCCCACACAGCATATCCTCAATCACAGAAGTACACATGCACAAATCCATATGTTCCTGTCACATTACCTGTTGGGCCCATTTATAGTGAGTTTCCTTTAAGTGGGGTGATGTTTCAATCGGGAAATCATCGGGCGCTCTTCTCGGCTCCTACTGACCCCGGATTGGTCAACCCACAAAGGGTGGGTTTCCCCCGGCCACGGAACAAATCCCAATGAAATGAATTCCCCAAAATGTTGGACGTATTCATGCTTTGAACAATGCAGGGATCTGCAAAAGAGGATGCTTAGTTCTCCAACCCCCCCCGAAACAAAAAAAAACAACTCAGGATGGCCTTTCAACACATCACCCTTGTGGGTGAATCTGCTTATTTGTCACATGGTTTCCTTTGGCTTCCCTTCAACGCCTCAAAAGGGTACCGAGCCCGGAGCCGCGCCGGAACCGACAAGGACACACTGTTGATGGAAGAAGTCTATGAGTTTGTAAGACTACATGTTTGCCACCCCGCGCCCCCTGCTTAACATTGAGTTACGACGGGCAAAACAGCCCATACGTTGTCAATTGCCTAAATCTTGCAATGTTAAGTAGGGGGCGCGGGGCAAGATGGCATGGATCTGTTTCAAAAGTGATGCAAGAGTTCTTCCATGCACCGCAACTCCGTGTCACCAAACTTCTGTGAGTTTGACTTGACTCTGTTATGTTTTTTGTTTTCCCCATAGGAACCAGCAAAAGGGGAAGAATGATCTACTTTTCGAAAATTGGCCAAACACCCACCAACAAGTTGACGTCCCACAAGAGTATGTAAAATTTAGGCGACTTCTTTTGGACAATCCATGGAAGTCAGAATGAGTGCCTTTCCAGGTGCCCGGATAGACCTGAAACCACCATGTAACTCACAACAAGGAGCATCATAATGTCAATGTGGTTTCAGGGTTCCAATTTGAAGGGTTTCGAATTGGGATTGCGGTTTGAAGGTTTTCATTTTGGCCAAGTCTCCTTACCCTGGAAACGTTGTGAGGAAACCACTTAAGAGTCTTGGGTTGATCTGGATTGTCTTGACAGGCCTTGAGCTGTATCGGCTGCGCCCCAGTAGAAAAGAGCGTTTGTAGACTGCTCACCAACAGTGGTGAGCGGAGCCTTACCGATGGCCTCGCCATCCGACCCATGGTTGGACTACCTGCGGAACCAAGGCCGCAGTGACGCATCCGCGAGAACACCCGCGGCGACAACGGCCGGACTCGGTCCACCACCTGGACTGAGCACGGCGGGGCCACCACTTTCCTTTGGACCTTCCTCAGGACCGACGCCCAATGCGCACCACATGCAGCACACCGCCGACGGCACGAGTGCCCAGAACCAGAACTTCGGCACGAGTGCCCAGAATCAGAACTTCGGCATGAATGCCCAGAGCGCGAACTTCGGCTTGAACACGCCGAACTTGCTCTACGGCATGAACGCCCAGAACATGACCTTTGGCGTGAACGCCCCGAACGTGCACACCGGCATGAATGCCCAGAACTTGCCCTTCGGCGCGAACACCCAGAACTTGCCCTTCAGCTTGAACACCCCTTGCCCCAATGCGAATCCTTTGCCCGCCACGAACGTGGACCCCGGCACCCAGATGAACGCAGCTACCTTTGCCTCAGCCATAGGCTCTGGCCTTTCTGGAAGTCCTCAACGAGTAGTTCATTCTGCAATGGACATGCTGGGAAAACCTTCCCTGCCGGGAGGTCATGCTGCTCATCCTCAAGGACGACTGTCGGGAGACGCGCTGATAGCCCAGGCGCTGAGTCAGGCCCTCTCCGGTGAAAAGAGGCCGATTCCTTGCTGGAATGGAGCTACGACCACGCTCCGTTCATGGTTGAAACTCTTGGCGCTGTGGGAGCATGAGAGCCAGATCCCGCAGGACAAGAGAGGCATCAAGCTCTTGCAGAGCTTTCCGGAGGGCTCTCAGCCCAGGCGTATCGCCGACACCGTGCCCACGGACATCCTGATCTCCGCACAGGGCTACTCGGCGATCCTCTCGAAGCTTTTGGAGAAGTACGGCCCCTTCTTGGAAGCCACAGGCCCGCAGGCCGTCGACAAGTTCCTATTCGAAGGAGAGCGCGGACGAGGTGAATCATTTTCATCCTTCGTGGCAACGAAGGAGCTGGCTCGACAGGAGATGGAATCCCACCTCGGGAACATGTCAGCGACAGGCTTTGCGGGCGGATCCTCTTGAAGCAGGCCAACCTCAACGAGCTCCAGAGGGAACTCGTTAGTCTGAAAGGACCGATGATGCGGACCTTTGATGAGGTGGCCAACATGCTCAGACCGTTGGACAGGCCGGAGGCACTTGCTCGACCTGACAACGCTGGTGGACGACCTCGAGGAGCCTACTTCGCGAGCCCCGAGCACGCTAATGCGGACGACCACATGGAGGACGATCAGTCCTACTTCGAGGAGGATGAGAACGAGGACGCGGAGGAAGAATCTCTCATGGATGACGAGGGCAACCCCCTGATGTACATGGAGGATCGAGAGTACTCGGAGACCGAGGCGAACTACATCCAAGCCTACCACTCGGCCTACCGAGATGTGAGAAAGGAGTTGCAACGGCGGAGGAACGAGCGCGGCTACACCAAGCGCGACAACTACAACCGGCCCTTTGGAGGAAAGAGAACCTTCCAAAAGGGAAAATGGAACAAGGGCGGCAAATCCAAGTTCAGCCGGAAGGGGAAGTCAGATGACGGAGGCTTCAAGGGCAGCATGGGCGACCTGCAGAACCGCACCCGGTGCTTCAACTGCAACGAGATGGGACATTTCGCCAGAGATTGCCCTTTGAAGACTTCATCCACTACAAGCTCATCGAAAGGTTTCTCCGACAAGACCAAGCGGACCTTCGTCTTTGGTGCCCACCCTTCCAATGCCCCTGCAGTCTTCATGCACTACCATCAGCCTAGGCGACTCGCTGTATTTGCAGGAGTTCGATGCAGGCCGAGCGAGGCTTTGGTGGACACCGCCGCCGAGGACGCTGTGATCGGATCGAACGCGATGAACAGGTTGCATGGCTCTCTTCGGGCCATGGGATTGCGAGCCATTCCAGCGACTGGTGTGGAACTTCCTGGCGCTGGAGGCATTGGCGGAGCAGCTGTGGTGCAATCGATGATGGATGTGCCTATTGGCGTTGCTGGCCATAACTGCATCCTCAGGTTTACGGTGCTGAAGGACACCGGGGAGTTTGAGACACCCCCCCTGCTGCCGGTGAGTTTCCTGGAGACGATGGACACCATCATCGACTTCCAGAAGAGCGAGTGCGTTATTGGCGGCAACACCGTTGAGATGCTCAGATTGCCCACCGGACATCGCGCCATCGACATTTTGCAGTACCATCCCGACGGTTGGAATTTGCCAACCGAGATGCGAAAGAACCCCGACCTGGACCCATTTGTGCTTCCATCCCACACTTCATCGGCGACGGTCTCTATGGTGTCAGTGTGGCTTCAACGAGCAGATGATAAAGTTTTTGTGCAAGCTCTACCTGGCGGGCGCCTGCCCATGATTGTGCCCGCGGATTGCAGTGGACTGCCTCCGAAGCACATCACTCGCCGCCGCACATCACATGTCGTGTTCGATGACGGCAGCGAGATCACCATCGATGACGACTGGCAGACGCAGCACGCCCATAGAGAGCTTCAGCAGCCCTGGCACGGCAGTGTCACCTTTTACCAGAACGGCATCAACGCCAACGTTTTTTTGGGAGGCGATGCAAGTGCTCCCGCTGGTGATGATTTTGGCGCTGATGGGCCCTGGGGACCGAATGGACCTTATGCCCGGGGAAGCGCTTTTTCTAGCTACCAACCGCCATCACGAAGCGGTCGGAACCGACAGCCAGACGCGCACCCCAGGAAAACCGGTCACCAACAATCAGAGGCTGCTCATTTTGACATCTCTGAGAATGGAAGCCAGTTTGGACCGAGCGATCACGGTGCGGGTCATGATCTCTATGTACCGCCGCAGCCACTTCCCATGCTCAAGTGGCTATTCAATCAAGCTCGACAATTCGTGGTCGGCCATGGCATCGCTGAAGGACCGCATCAACAAGATGGTCCATGCCAAGGATCCGACCGTCCCCAAGGAGCCGAATCCGCAAAGGGCGAAAAATGCTTGGCGAAGGATGACCCTCGCGATCTTCACCCTGATCAAGGCAGCCACCGATCAGCTGGTGGTGGACTACCTGGTGAAGTCAAGAAAGGTGGAGGAAGAGTTGGGAGCCGTGAGTCAGACGACCATGAAGAAGCAGACCACGAAGAACGTCTCGCAGCAAGTGGTTCGGCAGGGCATCGGCAAGCCCCTCACGCGCTCCAAAGCCCAGAAGAATTGGGTCCACGAGCCGGATGTCTGTCCTCACGTTCAGGAGTACCTACGTCACCGAGCAGGTCGAGGCTACTTCTGGTGGACATGCCTGCAGTGCGGTTCGCGCTGGGAGAGGAATCAGTTGGAGGAGACAACTGCCGGGAGCAGCAGCAGCAGCCATCTGGTGGTCGAGAAGCCGCTCAAGGGCTCCTACCCGGAGTATCTCCCACCGCCTCGCTATCGCACGGACATGAACAAACTGGTCAAGGTCACCACCAAGGAGAGCGACAACGTCCCAAAGTCCCAGGGGAGCATCCTGGCCACGGAGATCAAGAACCAGGCGACGGCGATGCTCGAGGACCAGTTCAACCGGGACACCGAGAACGCGAATGCGGGTCCGGACGGCACGATCACGGAGAAGAACAACGGCAAGGGAAATTGCCGATCGAAGAATCGAACTCTGACAGGAGTTCTTCCATGCCGCCGCTCAAAGACTCCCACAAGGAAGAGCGCCGTGGACACCGAGATCTACGAGCT